GCCTAGTGAGGACTCACCGGAAATCTGGGCCCCTGAAAATGTGTCCCCAAAGAGGGGTGAGATTACAAATCTCAATAAGCTCCAGGTTTATAGAGAATTCTCCATACCCCTGGCTCACTCCTGCATGAAATTCAGATACAGAGTATACAAATACAACATATAACAGATATCATAACAGAACCGAGCATATATCCATATCATATCAGAGATGTGCGCCGTCATTCCCAAGGGAGGACCCCAAGCGGAAATCAACGCACGTGTTCCCGAGGGAGGACCCCAAAGCGGAACCAGACATATCAGAGGAGTACACCATCAGTCCCGAGGGAGGACCCCAAAGCGGACGTCCGGGTACTATACAATCAATGGCCAGAGATTGTTACAGAAATCATATTACAGAAGTCATATCAGAGCAAAACATATCATGTTATCAAATAACTCTATATGAATGCATCTATACAAAGCATCTAAATCACAGTCATACAGTCCAACCATAGTTCACTAACCATGGTGGAGCACTCAAGCAGGAAAAGACTCCTTAAACATAGAGCTTACCTCTTGAAGCTTTACCAATACGCTTACTTGTGGAACAAGTTACTTTTATCGCTTCAAGAGATTTCCGATCCTTCTCAATCCCTAGGCACACCTAGAGAATAATTTACAATGCATCAATAAAATGATGCAATACCATAATTATTTCATAAGCATACATTTTATTGCTTATTTTCCTTTCTTTGCATTTTTGCCAATCCTATGCCAATACACAAGTCTAGACCTCTTTATAACTGTTGGTGTTCTTTAATTTAATCAACCATTCCCTTAGGAATTTTCAACATAAATCATGCTATTTTTCTTCAAAACTCATCACCTTTATACAATTTATTACAACACATTTTATTTAAAATAAAATGTACAAAATATATCCCTAAATACCCTATAGGTCGAATCCTACAAGGGGAATTTCCAAAGATCCTTCTCTTTTACAATGCATTTTCGTTACTTCATTACAACTTGCAAACACCTAGGAATGCTTCCACTAAATTCCTATTTTGAGTTTAGACACCAAGTCCTTTTTACTTAGGCATTCTTACTAACTCATCCATTTTCACTCATTTCCAACACACTATACCTTCACAATACATAATATAATTTTTTCCACAATAACTCCTACTCACTCCATGATGGCCGAAACCTAGGAGGAATATGCAATAGGACTTTTAAATTTTTATATCACATGTGGATGCTTACTCAACACTATAACTTCCTAAACAACAATAAATCAATCATAAATTTCACATTCTAACATCAATTATTTCCCAACAAAATATGCTCATCAATTTCATAACTTAAATCATCAAAATAATATCATGGAAATAGAGGTTTCTTACCTCTAAACACTTGTACAAAGCCTAGAGAGCAATCTCCAAGCCAAGCTCCATCCAAAAACTCACTTTTTCTCCTCCAATGAATAGTAACTCGAAAATGAGAGGAGGAATAACTCTTCACACACTCAACTATAGCTCAAATGGATAGGTGGAATGGATTCATTGAGTGGTTTCCAATCAATTTCATGTGGTGGGTCATTGGATTTGGTGGATGGATGATGAAGAAATCAAAGAAGGAAAATTTGAAACCCTAGCCCCTTCCCCTCCATGTGCAGCTCGGCCATGCAAGAGAGAGAAGAAGAAAATCTGAAATGAATAGTGTTTCATTTAAGTGACAAGGCTATATAGGCACATGTGGCCATTTTCATCGGATGTTTTTTTATCGCGTATTTTAACTTAAATTGACCCGGAACTAACTCAAAGCTACAAACATATTTTTTATTTCCTAAAATCATTTACATTAATTTTTATTTCCTAAGGAACAATATTCATAATTCACAGTATGGTTTTTGCACCGTTTTTGACGAAATGCACTGTGCATCACTAATTGTACTTCCTTTACTTACGAAACTTAAAACTTATAAACTTATCATTTTCTTGGGCCTATATTGACTTGCTTGGCATATATTGGAATTTCTTATTCTTATTTCATCAATTATTTATTTCTGGACTCTACCGGTTGCTTAAACAGCAGTACAAAATACCCGGTAGAAACACTATTCACGAGATTTTCACGGAAAGTGCCAGACTATACAATTTTTCGTTCTGAACTCATATTTGTCATCAGAATTTTCAAATTATGTTCCTAAAATTATTTTGCTCATTTTAAGCTCTACCGGTTAATTCACAAAACTGTAAATTCTCCGGCAGAACGCACTGTTCATCACATAGTCATGATTACAGTCAAAATACTCGAAATCGCTCACTGAATCTAATTATGGCATTTAAATCCTTAAATTAAATCTCTAACTAAGATTTATCAGTTAGGGTCATTATAGACTGCTGCACCACTCTTGGTGAGCCCAGTGATAGCTGATAGCGAATCACTGTCCAAAATTATTCTTCTAAAACCAGCATGCCACGCCTCCTTTAAACCATGCAGAATACCCCATAATTCAGCTCTAAAAGCTGAACAGAACCCTAGCTTGACAGCAAACCCTCTCAGCCATCCACCTTGAGGATTCCTGATCACACCCCCGCAAGCTGCAGGCCCAGGATTTCCACGAGCTGCTCCATCAGTGTTGATTTTCACAAAATTTTCACCAGGGAACTTCCAAGCTATAGTCAAGCTAGTATATTTCTTTAGAGGTTGTTTCATTCTTTTTGCAATTGCTTGTTTAACGTCCATAACAAGTCTATTGATAATGATTATCCTTGCTTCCAAAGAAGGAGCCACTTCATCATGATGAGTTTTGCTCCTCCAAATCCAAATCTTCCAACATGCTAGGGGAAATAATAGTAACCAATCATCCGACATACCATGATTATGATCTACTCCAAAATTGGAAATAAACCACAGTCTTGGATCCTGTGTAAAGAAGTTTTCAATCCCTCTCGGAGGAAGAAGTGTCTCCCATACTCTCCTACTGTTAGTACAATCTCTTAAGGCATGCAGCAATGATTCAGCCTCTCTATTACAGCACGGGCAGAGATTGTCTGCTCCACTCCAATTTGCAATTCTCTCTTTTGTTAACAGCCGTTGATGTATCATCTTCCAAGCAAAAACTTTTATCTTCTGTGGTCCATTCCATGTCCAGAGCTTTTTCCAGATTCTCTGCATAATTTCTTCTGTTACAATTTGATCCGATAAACAACTGTATATGGCTCTAACTGAGATGAAGTCAGATTCAGGGAGATGCCATGTCCTTTCATCAGGGCCATCCTCCGGAGTGGGAGGAAGCTGACTACGGATGATGTCAACTTTATTCCTTGGAAGCCACGCATTCAGTAAATCGAATTTCCACTCTCCCACGTCGTTTGCCATATCTGCAACCTTAATTTCAAAATTCACTTCTTGATTGTCTCCTACAAAACATTCCTCCAAAGTTCTTGAGTCTAGCATCCACCTATCTTTCCAGAAGCGAACATCTTTTCCATCTCCCATATCCCAAACCTTCTCCATTCTATGCCATAACCTACTCAAGTTAATCCAAAGCCTGGAGTCCCCCTTGCGAGTCTGAAATACCGTATCAGTTCTGTTCCCTGTCATATACTTTGCATGCATGACTTGCACCCAAAGTTGATGAGGTCCAGAATAAATTTTCCAGCTTTTTTAGCCAAGAAAGCATCATTCATGTAATCTAGACGCTTCAACCCCAATCCACCAGCTTCCTTTGGAGATGTGATGGTCTTCCAACTAATGGCATGGTGCTTGCGATGTTCTTCTGTGTCTCCCCATATAAATTCACGCTGCATCTTTTCCAAAGCTGAGCAGACAGAATTGGGCAGTTTACAGCTTTGCATTTGGAAAGCAGGAATCGAAGCTAAGACTGATTGGGTTAAGGTTATGCGTCCAGCTTGAGATAGGCAAAGTTTTTGCCAATTACTCAGCCTGTCCTTAACCTTTTCGATTATGCCATCATATAATCTCTTAGAAACCCTCCCATGTTGCATCATTGCACCAAGGTACCGCCCCATGTTTTTAACTCTTTTAAAACCACTGATTTGTGTTATTCTGTCAATAGCTTCATTTGATGTATTTTTGGAGAAAAACACACAAGTTTTCTCAGCACTAAGCTTCTCACCCGCCACTTCCTCAAAAAGATTCAGGCACTTAAGGAGAGTGTGAATTTGATCCTCTTTTGCTTCCATGAAGACCATCAAATCATCTGCAAAAACTAAGTGTGATATCTTGAGATCTCCCTTTCCAGCACAGATTGGCTTCCATAGCCCTCCATTAACTGCTGTTGTGATGATATGAGATAGTTTTTCCATAACCATGACAAAAAGATAAGGGGATAGAGGGTCCCCTTGTCTCAAGCCTCTAGAAGGAACAAAATCTCCTGTTTTCCCACCATTCCAAAGGACATTGATTCTAGAAGTTGTCACACAACTCATAATAATTTTGCTTAGACTCTCTGGTATTCCAATTTCCTCCAAAGTTCGATTCAGAAACTGCCAACAAACTCTATCATATGCTTTAACTAAGTCAATTTTGATTGCCATAAATGCCTTCCTTCCTCTCATCTTGTTCATGGAATGAATTAGTTCCTGCACAATTGTTATGTTGTCTTGAATCTGACGATTGGGGACAAAACTAACCTGATAAGGTGAAACAATCTTCTCCATGATATGCTTGAGTCTTGCTACAATAGTCTTAGTCAGAATCTTGTAAAGGACTTGACATAGTGTAATTGGTCTAAGTTGAGTAACTCTGTTTGGCTTTTTAGTCTTAGGGATCAGAACTAATAATGTTGAGTTAATCTCCCCAATCTCCTCTGGATGCATCCACATTCTTTTTACAACTGCACAGACTTGGTTCTTTGTTTTGAGCCATTGCCTTTGAAAGAAAATAGCAGGGTAGCCATCTGTACCTGGAGCTTTATAGGCTCCCATTGAGGATATACTCTTCCATATGTCATAGTCACTCGGCTGGACCTCTAATGCCCTCAAGTCTTCCTACTCCAGTGTAGGCCACAAAGTGTCAGAAATGATCCATCTACGGATTGGGACCTCTTCTGTAAACAGATCTTTGTAGAAGTTACAGACATGATTTTTTAGCTCACAAGGATCTTCTATCCACTCATTCAAATTATTCCTCAATCTGGTAACTATGTTGCTGCATCTCCTCATGACAGTTTTGAGGTGATAGAATCGAGTGTTCTTGTCTCCATCTGCAATCCAGTCATGTCTTGATTTTTGAAACCACATCAGCTCCTCCTGCTCCAAAGTGATATTTAAATCGTTCTGCAAAAGATCCTCCAATTGTTGTAAGCCTGGATCTTCCCCATTTTCTCTATGGCGTTGAACTTCTACAATTCTGTTAACTAAATTTCTCTTTCTGTTATTAATATTTCCATAAACATCTCTATTCCACCTTTTCAGCTGAGGAATAAAGTTTGACAGCATTCCATTAATTTCCATATCAGAATGCCACTTGTCTTCCATTAGTCTTTCGAAGTCAGGATGTTCCATCCAAGCAGCCATAAATCTAAATGGCCTCTCACTCCAGCCTTGCATATTACTTTTCATAGTTAGCAGGAGAGGACTATGGTCAGATAAGATTCTAGGCATCACTCTGACTGTAGCCTCATCAAAATTCAATCTCCAACTCATGTTAGCACACACCCTATCAAGTTTCTTGAAAACTCTATCAAGGTGGTTCCACTTAGGCCCCTGCCAAGTAAATTTTGCTCCCATGCCTGTCACCTCTTCCACTTGACAGCTATCTAAAAAATATTGGAATCTCAAGCATTTTGCAATGTCAGTAGGAGAATCTCCTCTTTTCTCATCACTGCATCTGATGTCATTGAAATCACCAGCCATTATCCAGGGCTCATTAGATGTTTGGCTTATAAGTTTCACTTCTTCCCACATTTCGTGTCTAGTGACTTCATGAGGACTGGCATAAATGGCCGTGCATAAAAACCTGTTAATATTCTCAATTTCTACTCTCATGTGAATATATTGAGTAGCTTGACTAATGACCTCCACCTTAGCTCTCCTAGAATCCCACATGATCCAAATTCCTCCGGAAAAGCCAGTAGCTTCTTCCACTATTGACTTATCAAAATTAATCTTCCTCATAAGCTTGCAGCAGGTACTACCATTTGTTCTAGCTTCCATTAAAGCATCCAAACAAATATTATTTTTTTCCACCGTCATTTTAAGGGTGCGGCCTAGATTAGCCTTAGTTGCCCCTCTACAATTCCAAAAGATCAAAGACATTAAAAAGATTGAGAGTATAGTACAGGCTGAGCTTGCACCTATAACAGATTCTTCATCTTTAATTCTTCATTACCTTCTGTAATCTCCATTGCCTTACCACTTTGACCAGGATCTGGTGGTCTAGGCTCCTCTTCTATATTTCTTTGACTCTCTATATTCCTGTTTGCCAGTAGATCCTCCTCCATGTTAGTAGAATTAGTGTTTTGCTGGGCATTCTGGCTTCTTTGAGTGCTGTCTATTTCCATAGTGTCCTCCTTTGTCAAATTGGCCACCTCCTTTCTTCTATCCTTATCCATTATTCTTTTTCTTTCTACATCAGTTTTCTTTTGACTGTGATCCTGGATGAAAGCATCATCAATAGCATCTTTCCCGTCTCTCACTAGCCTGAACTCAGATTCTGTTTCTATCAGTTGAACTTTCTCCTTCGCAGCCTTTCTTTTTGGTTTTTCAGTGTGGCTAGATGACCCTTGCCCAACTTTATTTAGAATGTCACTCTTCTTATTTTGCTCCAAAGTTTTCTCCTTATTTCCATTCTCCATAGATCCCAGCTTTGCCCCCTTAATATTTGTTGTTCTCTTCTGTTGCACTTCTTTAGCCTTGATTCCATCAACAACTCCTGTCTTACCTTGCTGAGGTCTAGCTTGCCGAATCCTAGTTACCACCATCCAGGGCCCAAAGTTATCAGCGGTGTCTCCTTTGCCTCTTCCTCCGTCTTCAATTTGACCACTATCCATAGTTGCTTCGCCTTCTCCATCCCTTTGTGGTTGAGTTACACTCTTGACAGCAGATGGACAAGCTTCTAAGTTGTGCCCATATTTCCCACAACCAAAACATATAAGGTGCAAACCCTCATATTCAACCTATTTGTATCTCCCATCAATATAATAATCACTCTTCAAAGGTTGATTAAGGTCTAACTCCACACTAAGTCTTGCAAATTTTCCTCTAGCCAACGTCGTGGTTGCAACATCCAATTTAACAAATTTCCCAAGCCAGTCTCCCACGTTCTTTATCAAAGAAGTCTCCCACGTTCTTTATCAAAGAAGTATTCACATACTCAATGGGAAAACTTGGCAATCTCACCCAGGCCGTTACATGATGGATGGATGCATGTATTGCCTGAAAGTCTGGTTCCCACATTCTGATTGACAGGTAATGATCAAATATAATCCAAGGTCCAGCCAGTAATGCAAAGTCCATATCATCCTTCTTTTCAAATCGAACCAAGAAATAGTCATTCTCTATGTCTGTAACAGCGATCCTACCTTCTCTTGCCCACATGTTTTCCAGCCTTTTCTTCATGAAACTCACTGATACTTTCTTCCCTAGAAGCTTTACTATAAGTGTAACATCCCCGTCTCGAGCCGGTTCAATTAACATACATATGATACAAACAGAAACAGCGGAAGACTTAACTTACAAAAATATGAGCTAACTTTTTCTTTTTCTAACTTAATTCTTACTCGGCGTAAACGAAAATCGGGCAGAGTTTCCTCTATAAATCGGACAACTGGGGATTTTCCAATCCCACTCAGAAGCATTTCCTGATAAACAGTTTATACAACATATCAATTCAGAAATACCAGATATCCAAATATAATCAAATACCCATACATGGGCGCATGCATAACATGGCTCCGTGCCACTAAATCTAACAGCATGCCATCAAAACATAAACCTATCTGAATACTACATCATCATATAACGTTCCTGAATACTCAAATGTACATGCATCAAACTGATAGACATGTACAAAACATATACAGGCCATATACAAAATAAAGGATCAATATCATGATCCATCAAATGCGAAAATACTGAAATACATCAAACACTCCAAAAAGGTAGTAGCCTACAGCCACTCAAAATCCGGTCTGTCAACTGCCTCAGCCACGTGTCGTGTCCCTGCCTAGTGAGGACTCACCGGAAATCTGGGCCCCTGAAAATGTGTCCCCAAAGAGGGGTGAGATTACAAATCTCAATAAGCTCCAGGTTTATAGAGAATTCTCCATACCCCTGGCTCACTCCTGCATGAAATTCAGATACAGAGTATACAAATACCACATATAACAGATATCATAACAGAACAGAGCATATATCCATATCATATCAGAGATGTGCGCCGTCATTCCCAAGGGAGGACCCCAAGCGGAAATCAACGCACGTGTTCCCGAGGGAGGACCCCAAAGCGGAACCAGACATATCAGAGGAGTACACCATCAGTCCCGAGGGAGGACCCCAAAGCGGACGTCCGGGTACTATACAATCAATGGCCAGAGATTGTTACAGAAATCAAATTACAGAAGTCATATCAGAGCAAAACATATCATGTTATCAAATAACTCTATATGAATGCATCTATACAAAGCATCTAAATCACAGTCATACAGTCCAACCATAGTTCACTAACCATGGTGGAGCACTCAAGCAGGAAAAGACTCCTTAAACATAGAGCTTACCTCTTGAAGCTTTACCAATACGCTTACTTGTGGAACAAGTTACTTTTATCACTTCAAGAGATTTCCGATCCTTCTCAATCCCTAGGCACACCTAGAGAAAATTTGCAATGCATCAATAAAATGATGCAATACCATAATTATTTCATAAGCATACATTTTATCGCTTATTTTCCTTTCTTTGCATTTTTGTCAATCCTATGCCAATACACAAGTCTAGACCCCTTTATAACCGTTGGTGTTCTTTAATTTAATCAACCATTCCCTTAGGAATTTTCAACATAAATCATGCTACTTTTTCTTTAAAAGTCGCGGGCGTACCCTTAGGGACTCAAGGTATTTTTCAACCATTTGTCAAAGCATTTCACTTCTTAGCTCATCCATTGGTATATTAAAATGCAACCCATTTTATTAGAATAAAATGTAACCAATATATATATACCCCTAAACATCCTATAGTTCGTAACATAGAGCAAGTATTTGTAGGATTTTTTCTAACTTTGGCATTTCCACCAATTAATCCATTTACACTACATTCCAACATATTTTACCTTTTCAAACATACAATAAAAATTTGCATGATGAACCCTATATAAGCCATGAAGGCCGAAACCTAGGGGAAAAGTGCACTAGGGCTTTTCAATTTTTTTATCACAAATTAATGCTTACTAAACACTATCATTCCTATACAACAACAATCCATCATAATTTTCACCTTCTAACATCAAATATTTCCCACTCAAAACATGCTCCAAATTTTCAAAACATAGATCACAAAATAATACCATAGAAATAGAGGTTTCTTACCTCTAATCACTTGTACAAAGCCTAGAGAATAACCTCCAAGCAAAGCTCCATCAAAAACCCACTTTTTCTCCTCCTATGAATAGTAATCCGAAAATAAGAGGAGGAATAACTCTTCACACACTCAACTATAGCTCAAATGGATAGGTGCAATGGATTCCTTGAGTGGTTCCTAATCAATTTCAAGTGGTGGGTCATAAGATTTGGTTGAGAATTCAAGAAGAAATCAACAAAACAAGCAAAACCCTAACCCCCCCTTTTCCATGGCTGAAGCTCGGCCCTTCAAGAGAGAGAAGAAGAAATTTTTGCAATGAATAGTGATTCATTTAAGTGGCCAAGCTATTTAGGCACATGTGGCCCTTTTGTCGGATGTTTTTCTATCGCGTATTTCACTTAAATTTACCGAAAACTTAACTTAAAGCTACGGATATATTTTTATTTTTCTAAAGTTATTTAAATTAATTTTTATTTCCTAAGGAACAATATTCATAATTCACAGTATGGTTTTTGCACCGTTTTTAACGAAATGCACTGTGAATCACTAATTGTACTTTATTTACTTTTAAAACTTAACACTTATAAACTTATCATTTTCTTGGGCCTATATTGACTTGCTTGGCATATATTGGACTTTCTTATTCTTATTTCATCAATTATTTATTTCTGGACTCTACCGGTTGCTTAAACAGCAGTACAAAATACCCGGTAGAAACACTATTCACGAGATTTTCACGGAAAGTGCCAGACTTCCAATTTTTCGTTCTGAACTCATATTTGTCATCAGAATTTTCAAATTATGTTCCTAAAATTATTTTGCTCATTTTAAGCTCTACCGGTTAATTCACAAAACTGTAAATTCTCCGGCAGAACGCACTGTTCATAACATAGTCATGATTACAGTCAAAATACTCGAAATCGCTCACTGAATCTAATTATGGCATTTAAATCCTTAAATTAAATCTCTAACTAAGATTTATCAGTTAGGGTCATTATATTCACCCCACCTTTTAAGGATTTTGCCCACAAAATCAAATATCAAATATACATATACCTGACATCAAACTCAGGATATCGCTGGAGAATTTCATTCTCCCGCTCCCAAGTGGCGTCCTCAGGAGTCAATCCTTCCCATTGTACTTTGATCATGGGAATAGTCCTGTTTCTCAACACTTTTTCATCACGTGCTAGAACCTTAAACGGTCCCACAACAAACTTCAAGTCTTTTCTTACTTCGATATTGTCCGGCTGTACAATGTGGGATTCATCCGGCACGTATTTTCGAAGTTGACTGATGTGAAAAACACTATGCAAATTTGACAGATGTGGAGGTAAGGCAAGCTGATAAGCCACAGGTCCGACCCTTTTCATAATCTGGTAGGGCCCAATGAACCTAGGACTCAACTTCCTCACTCCTAGAGCACGCCCAACACCCGTAGTCGGAGACAAACGGATAAATACATGATCCCCTTCTGAAAATTCAAGGGGTCTATGCTTTGCATCATAATAACTCTTTTGGCGACTCTGTGCTTTCTTCAATCGATCCTTAATCATCATAATTTGATCGGTAGTCTCTTGGACCATATCAGGCCCAAATAACTGCCTCTCTCCAATTTCTGACCAACAAGTAGGCGCCCTGCACCTACGGCCATACAAAGCTTCATACGGAGCCATGCCCAA